AAAATGCATGAAAAGGAATAATCCATTACCTTCATAATCTTTAAATAAGAACTGCTAAATTCATTTTTCAAGCACGTCTGTACAGTCTGAAGTCATGTAGGCTAGTCATGATGTTGGCTCTCAACAGCAAGATCAGGTGCTTCTAAAAGAGATCTAAGGGAAGAACTCTGTCTCTGCCCAACAGGTGATAGATAAGTTTCTCCTATCACTGCTGTATCTGATCATGTGTGCCGACTATACAAACAATCACCATTGCCTACGAGCAGTCCTGCACACACTCTCTCAGACTTAAAAGGACAAATAAATCATAAAAGTACAAACAATGTACAGTAAATAAAACTTTGATGATGCAATATGCAGTTGAAATATTGTGGAAACCTGTTTTGCAATATTATTATATTTTGGTAGTCTCCAAATTACACGATTTAGCTTAAAAATATGAAAATTCTGATATCTTCTGTTGTTTCAAACCAAATGCAAATTTGCGCCTGTATAGTAGAAGGAGCAGCTCAAAGAAATTTTTCTGCTGTGCTGCCATTCTGGATTGCAGAAGAATAGAACGCATGAGATGAAAGTTTAACACTCTTACTTATGCAATAATGAAAAAAAATGTATTTATCTAAAGTCATTTTTGCTTATGGCTGAATTGGATCATCGCAGTTCAGCAGCAAAGACATTGATTAATAAAGTGAGATGAAATACATAAAGTATATTTGTGTAATTTAACATATTTAATTATTGCAGGTTTGTGTAATATTCTAAGTTATAGCAATAGCATATCACTGTTTTTATTCATTTTAAGGGATACTGAATCTGTTTTTGTGCAAATGAGATGAGTGAATGAGATGCTCACCTTTAGTCTAGAACTACAATAACCATCATGTTTACATGCACTTACTCCCTATTTCTCATGGGGACTGGAGAGGTGCCAGTCAATAAATAAGAAAACAAAGTAACTTGCATTATTTATTTGAAATAAAGTAACTCAGATATTTTGTTGTAAAATTAAAACTAATGCATTACTTTACAAGCTACTAGAGTTACCCCCAACACTCCAGAAGTTTGGAAAGATAAAAACACAAGTAAATAATGACATAATTCATCCTTTAAAGGGGTGGTTGATTATGATTTCACTTTTCTAACTTTAGTTAGTATGTAATGTTGCTGTTCGAGCACATCTTCAAAGTTACAATGCTCAAAGATCAAAGCAAAAGGAGATATTTGCTTTTAAAGAAATTGCTTTTTAAGGACTACACTGTAAAAAATGATCGTGATTTTAACGATAAAAGAAAAATGCTACAGTGCAAAACTGTTAATTGGTTAACAGAAAGTTTCCTTACTATATACGGTAAATAACTGTGATAGATCTAACGGTACATTTAATGTAATTTTACTGTAAAATACCGTTAAATTTACAGTTTTTAAAAGTGAAAAGAACAACTCATTGTATAATTTACAGTGAAAACCCGTAAATTGACATTCCCACAATTCCCTGCATGACACTTCACATTTGATTTATTTTTGTTGAAATAACTATGTTTCTTCTTAGTTTTCTTAGTTATTTTTTAATAAGTTATGTACATTAGGGTTTTATGTTACATTTAATGTTGTTAAATGAATGTTTATTGCATTTTTAAAATTTCATGTGTGTTACCATGATGGTGTTTAATGTTTGTGCAAATAACACTGTGCAGCTTCAATATAATAGTATTAACTTTTTTGTGGAAGATTGCTTGTGATGAGCTTTGCTTTATCATGTGATTCTCATCACTGTTGTGATGGTTGTTGGTTGTCAGTGTGTTAATGGTACAAAACAGATATTAATACTTCAATAGGTTGGTAAATTATCATTATATCAGATAATAAATTACGGTTACTGTATATTTTACGTTAAGTCTGTAAAACCAAAAACGTTGATACCGTATTTTTGACGGTAAAGTTCTGGTAACCACAGCTGCCAGTTTTTTTTCCGTAAAAACAACAGGATTTTTTTTACAGTGTACAACAAACGGCTTGTAGGGACTACACGAGCTTCCTCACGGGTTAGGATTATCAAGACAGAATATGCTAATCAATGATTAGAAGATAACTACACATCAGCTACATAAATTCATCAATAACCATTCAGAACCATTCAGACTCTGTTGACATCATCTGACTCCGGTTTGAACATAAAAGGCTAAAAGTTTTTTAAATTTTCAGTGCATGTGTGAGGTAAAAGGACACAAGCTGTTGTAGCTCCACCCTCTGTACTGGGAGCAGCAGCTCATTTGCATTTAAAGGAATAGACACAAAACGGTGCGTTTTTGCTCACCCTCAAAAAGTGACAACTTTAACATGTTATATAAAAATATCTGTGGGGTATTTTGAGCTAAAACTTTACATACACACTCCGGGGACATCAACAACATATTTTACATCTTGTGAAAAACGCCATTATACCACCCCTTTACACTGGTCCTTTAAGGCTCTGCACAGATAAAATGGGTTCAATTAAAACTGTTTTAATATATATTAAATGGGCATATGAGACTTTAGGACAACAATAAAGTTAATTAAATATGTACAGAGACAATGTGAATCCAAAAATGAGAGGCGACAATCACGGTAAAGTTTATTTGCTTGAAACCGAACACTGACTCTCCACACAGCTCTGAACTCCAGCTAAAGACTAAATGGCTCAGAGTCATAAATATGACATCACCTCTATCTGTCCAGCCCCTCCCTTTCTCTCTGACAGGTGGTTTGGTCAGGTTTTCACCTCAATGTAAATCAAACCTAACAAAGAGTGGACTGGGTGCGTGTTACATGTTAACCTGAGGACATGAATAATAAAAACCTTCCTATGGGTCATTAAAGTTCTTCCTCGAAACATGTTTCCTCAAAGATGATGTAGTTATATGAGACTTGGAATATGAGAGAAGATGTCAACATCATACAGTAGCACGAAGAAGAAAACGTGATGTGTGCTGGTAAGTTGGGCAGGGATCTAAGATTAAGAGGTCAAGTCAAGTTATGTTCATGTATTAAATGACATCAGTGCATATAAAGGTGATCATCTGATCTGCTACAATGTCCCTTACTGTTGCCTACAAGCAAAAACAAAAGAGAAACAAATATAATATCCCAGATAACTTCGGTGTTCTGTGCATTTGGCCAAAAGAAGCTATACTGGATGAAGTAACTTCAGTAACTTCTACTGCAATGTCTCACTCCTTTATCAAATAATAAATCTTCATTTAACCTGACTAGAATAAATCATATACTACTGTTTAAATGATTAGGGTCGGTAAGATTTTTTTATGTTTTTGAAAGACGTCTCTTATGCTCACAAAGGCTGCATATATTTGATCAAACATACAGTAAAAACAGAAATATTATGAAATATTATTACAATTTAAAATAACTATTTTCTATTTTAATATATTTTAAAATGTCATTTATTCCTGTGACGGCAAAGCTGAATTTTCAGCATCATTACTCCGGTCTTCAGTCACATGATCATTCACATATCGACTACTATGCTGATTTGGTGCTCATAAATTATTTCTTATTGTTAACAATGTTGAAAACATTTGTGCTGCTTAATATTTAGTTGAAACAAATTTTTTACGGATTCTTTGATGAAGAGACAATTCAAAAGAACAGTATTTGTTTAAAATATTTTGTAACAATGCAAAAGTCTTTACAACCACTTTTTGATCAATTTAATGCATCCCTGCTGAAACAAAGTATTAATTTCAAAACTTACTGACTCCAAACCTTTGATCAGTAATGTATGTATATTTTATATAATCACACCGAACAAAGACCTCAATGTTCGGTACTCATTGAAGTTAGTATCTAATGTTTTGTAAAACAACAAAGTGCAAAATTCTAAATAGAGCAAACTTACACATTAGTATGTGCTGCATAATGCAAACTATATGGAAAACAATGTATGCACATTGCACATTTTGACACACTGCAGTAGATTACTATGCTCTTTGATTCAGAATTTGTCCAAATATCCAGTTAGGAAATAAGAAACATTTAGTTAGGAAATAGGAAACATATAGGAAATCTGTCGAGGCATTGTCAATCTCTACTGCCCCTTCTATTCTTTGTGGAAACAAAATTACTGAAAAAAAGAGCAAGTTTGTGAAATAAGAAATTACATAACTAAAAAGATGTATTCAGCAAAATCATAGTTAAAGTGATATTTCATAAAAAAAATCTGTCATAATTTGCTCACTTTGTCATTTCAAATCTAAAAGACTTTCTTTCTTCTGTAGAACATTTGAGATGTGTTTTTTTCATTCATTCAATGGAAATCAATGGGCGCCAATACTGTTTTGTTATCAATAACCAAAATATCTTCTTTTGTGTTTTGCAGAAGAAAGAGACTCATACAGTTAGAAACAACATGAGGTTATGACAAACTTTGGGGGAAACTATCCCTTTAATTTCTAAAAATTTCTATAATGCTAAGATCTTTAGATCACAGTCCTCTGAATATTTGTTTAAAATTGTTATGCTAACCTCCTTCATTACACAATGAGCAATGTTGTTGCATAACAACATGCAAATTCTTGACTTTAAGAGCTAGGCCTATATATTATATGGTATTTATAAGTCCTTAAATAGGCAATTACATATTTGTAATGATATATGTATTGTATGTATTGTAATGTCTTCCTTTGTTGTGTTACACTCAACATTGCCTAAAAGGCCTGTAAACAAACTGTAGATATATCACATTTCACAGCAGGACTGATATCAGTTAAACATCAACTCTCTACAGTCTCTTTTCAATTTAGGGTTTCTATAGTCTCTTTAACAATGTAGGAAACCAAAACAGACTGCACCAAAGATGTCATGTCCATCTGTGTCATATCCCATAAACATCTACAGTAACAGCAGCCGGTTGAAGCACAACTGATGGTCCCGTAATAGGGTGTACGGACAGCTGTAGCTAAAACTGCGAGTCAGACACATAAAAGAAGTCTAGAGCTACTTACAGCACCTGATAGATGATCTCTGTATTGGGTGAAAGCAGAGCCGGGTAGACAGACGATAGGTCACACACAGGAGCCTGTGTATTTCTTGAAACTGTCCTTTACACCTGCTCAAGGTTGCCCTGTCTTGTTCGGCTCACTCTATCGACTGGCCTGTGCACTGAGAAGAGTAGAACGGAGCGATAGGGAGGGTGGAGTAAGAGGAGTGGGTGGGAGCAAAAGAGAGAGAGAATAAAGAGAGGCAATCTGTGAGCCGGCGCTCTGCAGCTCATACAGCTAAAAGCAGTTTCACCACTGCCAGGTCAATTTAATCAAATGACTCAATTCATCAACTCATGGAACCAACAGATTTACTGATTCATTTAACCTAATCATTCATTTTACACTCATGAATGATTTGTGGACACCTTTGATTATTAAATTGCAATCAATGCTTTATTCATTTGATAATATTACTCACTGATGACTGAATCACTCATTTATATGTGTCAGTGATTTTCAGTCATGAATGATAAGTGTCATGATACGGCTGTATGTGGCAGAGTGTGACACTTGTATAACATAGAATCTTCAGCTTCTGCCAGTTTTATGTTCCAGGGGTTGTTTTTTATTTAAACTTAAAAGGATCATGACATGAGAAATCAAATTTGCCTTGATCTTTTGACATATAAGCGGTCTTTGTACCATTAAAACATCCTGCAAGTTTCATAGCATAAAACATTATAAACAAAGCATTGATTTAATCAAGCTCCAAAAACAACTCATTTGGATATTGTGGGATTTGTGACATTACACAGGCAAGTACATTTGCATATGACTGCCTCCAGAGCATGACATTGACGAATAGTTTTTACATCATCACACCATAGGCCCCGCCCACCCATTATAATCATTGACACTGCGCTTACATGCACCCTCATAATGTGATTATAATAGGATTTTGGCAATATTGCGATAAAATTTTACCTCATGTAGACGCAATACTTTGATCAAACTACTGTGATTAAGCTCATAATCATAGTAACCATACTCGTGTCGCATTGAACTATGTGGTGTACGCCAATTCCATTTTTCTTTTAAAATATAGTGTATTATTTTGTGTATTATAGTGTCAGGGAGACACTAACAATGACTGATTATTAAAATTAAGGTGGTAACACTTTACAATAAGGTTCATTAGTTAACTACTTTGTTAATGTTAATGTCAATTTTTACTAATACCATTAAAGCTGCAGTCCGTAGCTTTTTTTGGGGTAAAGATTATTCAAAATACATATTTGAGAAAATACATAACCAGCCAGTGTTCCAAACTATCGGCTTGCCTTAGCTCGATTCAAAGCGGTAAGCTTGTAATAATGTTTTTAATTCCAGTGGTACTGGTGGATTTCCACGGGAAATTCGAGCATGTCTTTGCGTCATTACGTCACATTCTGTACACATAAAGAAGGAGTCTCGGCTAGTAGGCTATATTGCGTGTGAGGATGCTGGAGGTGGAGATTTATAGCCTTTTCTCACAGCACTTGATATAATTAAACTTATTAATTTGATGGCGGATCCAGAAAGGTTCAAACGACAATCACCAGTGACAACAGATTCACACGCTGTAAAATGCAAAAGACTTCGTTCGGACTTCGGAGTGAAAAAAGAGACTGCAACCGGCTCATGAGAAAACAAGGATACATATCGGAAGGACATTACATGTAGTCACGCAATCCTGATGTTGTTAACATTAACAATTTGGGAACAGTATAATTTGCACGGTTTTGCGTGATATGATAAGCGATTTTTTGATTTAATCAGCACGATTTACTGCAATGTCAGAACCAGAAAAAAAGTGGATGTTACTTCAAATGACATTTTCCGGTGAAAATTATTATGTTGGTCATACTTCCAAAAAGAATCATCTGTGATTCTGAATGCCAGTATCCACACCGGCGCGGTGATGACAGCCTCACACTCTCCTCAAACATTGTGTTCATCCGCGCTGTGCGGTGTCGAAGTACAACTCACGTAAAGTTGATAATTCCGCGAATGACTGCAATTGCAGATTTCGAACAGAGATGGCGACAAAGAGGAAAAACTGCGGACTGCAGCTTTAAGGTAAATATGAAAATATGTTATATCATTAAATCGTTTTAATACATGAAATACTACCTATGAAAAAGTCAGACTTTTCCCCCCAGAAATGATTAAAATGTCACTTCTAACTGAAAATGTTTTTTGATTTAAAGGTGACCTATAATTCAAAATTGAATTAACCTTGGTATAGTCAAATAACAAGAGTTCAGTGCATGGACATGACATAGAGTGAATCTCAAACTGGACTGTTTTCGCGTTCTCATTTAATTCACGTTTATGAAAAACACCCCTGAAAAACGGTCGGTTCTCCACACAATACCAACTGTGACGCAATAGTCGGGATCATTAATATGTACGCCTCCAAATATTTGCATAATGCCAGCCCTCAATGCCAGGCGGAACTGCGCAGCCGAAGCATGGCAGTTGCTCAGTGTGGATGTACACATGAACACAAAAGTATTTTTTAGTTCCTTCATCTGAGCCTCTGAAGAAACAATGGGTTAATTTTATTTTCTCTGGAAATTTCCAAACATTTCACCGACTGTTTCCTCAACTTGGGCCAATACAGAGCTGGCCTCGGATCGAGCTACCAAGCAACACTTTCTGATGTGTAATTGTTCAAGTTCAGACAGGTAATCTTTCTCTCAAAATCGTTCAATACTGTTTATGCATCAGTAAGTCAAGCCAGTGACTAAAATATCAGCTTCACATCGTTTCTTTTAGTAAGATGAAAATAATCGTATTTAAATTGTGAACAAATTATATACAGAAAGCGATCAAAGAACAATCTTTCCACACAGCGCGAGTTTATCTGGACACTTGCCAAACTCGTTATGAAATCAATGACGCACGTTACTGCACAACGAAGCTCTTACTGTATTTACATCATCGTGTTTGCATTGGGGAAAGCAGAGAGAGTGCAGAAACTGCTTTGCAATGATAAGATCTTCATTCTCGCGATCAACACGTCATCTGCTCAATGCTCATCACGGCAACATTTTATGTGATGGGAATAGATCTAAATACTTTAAAAACATCTCACGATTCGTTAATCTCGATAGCTGTTATAGTAAAAACGTATAATAGCAGTAGTAAAAGTATTCGGGAGAGAGTTTCACATGTAATGCGTTGCTATTTCATATGCAAGCATGTCAGCCAATCACAGCAGTGGCTGGCTACACTGAATCCCACAGCAGACACGCCCCTTCAAACAGAGTGTTCAAATCAGAGGCTAAAAGCAGGCTAGGAAAAATGCCATTTATTTCTAAATTATGATTATTTTTTATCTAAAAAACATACTAACATTATAAGGGTAACCCAGGAAACATTATAAAATAATAAAAAAAAACATTCTAGGGCACCTTTAAGTAATATATATACACTCACCTAAAGGATTATTAGGAACACCATACTAATACTGTGTTGGACCCCCTTTCGCCTTCAGAACTGCCTTAATTCTACGTGGCATTGATTCAACAAGGTGCTGAAAGCATTCTTTAGAAATGTTGGCCCATATTGATAGGATAGCATCTTGCATTTGATGGAGATTTGTGGGATGCACATCCAGGGCACGAAGCTCCCGTTCCACCACATCCCAATGATGCTCTATTGGGTTGAGATCTGGTGACTGTGGGAGCCATTTCAGTACAGTGAACTCATTGTCATGTTCAAGAAACCAATTTGAAATGATTCGAGCTTTGTGACATGGTGCATTATCCTGCTGGAAGTAGCTATCAGAGGATGGGTACATGGTGGCCATAAAGGGATGGACATGGTCAGAAACAATGCTAAGGTAGGCCGTGGCATTTAAACGATGCCCAATTGGCACTAAGGGGCCTAAAGTGTGCCAAGAAAACATCCCCCACACCATTACACCACCACCACCAGCCTGCACAGTGGTAACAAGGCATGATGGATCCATGTTCTCATTCTGTTTACGCCAATTTCTGACTCTACCATCTGAATTTCTCAACAGAAATCAAGACTCATCAGACCAGGCAACATTTTTCCAGTCTTCAACTGTCCAATGTTGGTGAGCTCTTGCAAATTGTAGCCTCTTTTTCCTATTTGTAGTGGAGATGAGTGGTACCCAATGGGGTCTTCTGCTGTTGTAGCCATCCGCCTCAAGGTTGTGCGTGTTGTGGCTTCACAAATGCTTTGCTGCATACCTCAGTTGTAACGAGTGGTTATTTCAGACAGTCAAAGTTGCTCTTCTATCAGCTTGAATCGGTCGGCCCATTCTCCTCTGACCTCTAGCATCAACAAGACATTTTCGCCCACAACTGCCGCATACTGGATGTTTTTCCCTTTTCACACCATTCTTTGTAAACCCGAGAAATGGTTGTGCGTGAAAATCCCAGTAACTGAGCAGATTGTGAAATACTCAGACCGGCCCGTCTGGCACCAACAACCATGCCACGCTCAAAATTGCTTAAATCACCTTTCTTTCCCATTCTGACATTCAGTTTGGAGTTCAGGTGATTGTCTTGACCAGGACCACACCCCTAAATGCATTGAAGCAACTGCCATGTGATTGGTTGATTAGATAATTGCATTAATGAGAAATTGAACAGGTGTTCCTAATAATCCTTTAGGTGAGTATATATATATATATATATATTTACTGTGTGTGTGTGTGTGTGTGTGTGTGTGTGTGTGTGTGTGTGTGTGTGTGTGTGTGTGTGTGTGTGTGTGTGTGTGTGTTTGTTTGTTTGTGATGACAGAATTTAATGCATGTTGGGCGAACTTCAAGTTTTGATTTTTTTTTTTTTTTTTAAATGTCTAAGAACCAGAAATACCAATACCGTAATTCCTCAAATAAAAACCGGGAGTCAATTAAAAGCCGGGCCTCTGATAGTGGCCGGGGGCGGGGTCAACACATACAAATAAAGGCCGGTCTCAAATTAAGGCCGGGGGAAATTTAGTGTTGATGATAGGTAATCTCTTGAGCCTTTCATATAATGACATAACATAAACATACTAATTTTCCACAAGATATTTTCCTCTACATCTCATCATCGATGTCGGCCCACTCTGCAGCAGCTGACCACTGAGGAGCGAATGTACAGTGACGCGACATCACTGCCAGATTCAAACTGTGCTTTCGTGCTATGGCTGGCGCTGAGCTAAAGACTTTCAGCGCTTGTCATACCGTATTATCACAGCTATTCAGTGTTTTTAACCACATCATGTTTATTTTAGGTTTCGGACATTTAAATACATATAATTAGAAAAACAATACATTTATAGTTTGTAAAATATACAATGGTGTCTATGGAAGCAGCAATAACATTTCATTCAAATATATTTGCAGAGGTGTTTTATTCATTTCAGATACACCGTGTAAGTAACTATAAAGTTGACTCTGTTCTTCTCCCAGTTCACCGGCCACTTACTTTCATGTATTTCGGGAGAAACGGATGAAATCACGTGCTGTAATAAATCCAACAGACAGGAATCTCTGAACTGCGCCCAAACAAACATCTCACGTTACAGATCAAGATCATTTATAACATTAAAGATCATTTATAACGATCGCGATGCCGTCTCAACATAGTGTGATGTCTGTCAGCCATCGCGAAAGACTGCATCGTCTATCGGCCCAATCCTATTATTTATCAAAAAGATGGAATTAGAAATAAAGGCCTGCCTCTAATAAAAGCCTGCTTCAAATAAAAGCCGGTTACTTTCTGCAGTTTAGGTAAATAAAGGCCCCAGCTTTTATTTGAGGAATTACGGTAGTTAAATCTACCACACTACCATCATGTTCATGAAATCTATTACAAATTGCATTCATAAATTGTTTAATTCATAACTAAAGTGTTCGCAACAACAGCTGACTGAAACACAGACAGAAGCGATAAAAAATGTTCAAGGCCATTGTTAACCTCTG